TCTTACATTTTTTAAACAGCGTTTACTTTTTTGTGTTTGTGGGGGTGGGGGAAGGTTGAGCGTGGGGCGTGGGGGAAGGGTGTGAGTGTGCCTCAGCATGCACTAGAGGTCAGAGAACAACATGGGAATTGGTTCACTCCATCTATCTCGTGGGTCTTGGGATCAAAGTCAGGTCTTCAGATTTGGCGACAAGCACCCTATGGACCGAGCCGCACTCTAATAACTCCTTCACTACATCCAGGTGTAGTTCTCACTGATCTAGGCAGGCTATCTTGGATAAGGATTTGCAGACATATTTGCAGAAGAAGTGCTGGAAATTACACAAAAGGGCAGGATTGCTCTAAGACTGAGGTGGCAATTTCTTTTGGTAGTTGCTTCTTTTCAGTCGGCAGAGCTGTAGTGGTCGGCTTCTCTCTTCCTGCCCTCTGCTGCCTGTGAAGAAGGCAGGTTGTGGTTTCTTCTGTTACCCTGTCTTCCCATTCCTGGAGGCCAAAGGCAGCTCCTGACACCAGACTGCACATCCTGTGCCCAATGCTCTGATTAGACCCTTGGATTCTTCCTTCAGGAATCCCAGCTGCTGGCCCCCTCTGCAGGCTTTCCCACAGCCCTGACCCTCAAGGTGCCTTCTCGAGGTGTTTTGGACCGGCTTTGATCTTGCCTGCTCTGGGCGCCTCTGGCTGTGTTTGGCAGCCTTCCCTCCTAAGCTGTGGTTTGGGTTACAAATGTGTCCAGTTTTGCTGAAGAGGGTGTTTGCATTTCTATTTCTCTTTCTCCTTGATTTTGGGCGATTTCAGATAAGAACACGAGTAATTTTATTCTGCTGCCTTAAGGCTATCGAGTGTTGGGGATTTTTTTGTGATCGAGTATTCTCTCAGATCAGAACTTTTGCAAAGAGAGTTGATACCAGCTGAAGCGGAAACCTGACAACGGAAAGGGAAGAACAGGGGAGTCGAGGCAAAAACTGAGGGTTATAGAAGAAATCTGAGAAGCATGTGTGTCCGTGCTGAGTGATGGCAGGGGTCCTTCCTTCCCTTCTTCACTTTTTGGTTGGGGTGTGCTTCTGTCAGGGTGGGGTACTAGACTTTCCTGTCAGTGACAGAACACCTGAGAAAACAGCCTAAGGGGAGAAGGATTTGTTGTGGCTCACAGTCTTAGAGTTTCAGTTCACTGTAGCAGAGGGGATGTGTGGGAGGAGGCTGGGCCAGAAGCATGCAGGGGTGCCTGCAGTAGTACCGCAGGTGCACCTGACCATCCTCCCAGGCAGCTGTCAATCCAGTGAAGTTGAAGAGACTCTCATGGGGCCAGGGAGACGGCCCAGGTGGTAAAGTGTTTACTGTACAAACACAAGGACCTGAGCTTGATCCCCAGAAGCTATGTAAGAAAGCCAGGCAAGGTGGTTTGTACTTGTAATTCCAGCCCTGGGGAAGTGGGAAGGGTAATGGATCCCTGGGATTTGCTGGCCAACCAGCTTAACCTATTCAGTGAGTTCCAGGCAACTGAAAGAGCATCAGTTAAAAAATAAGACAGATGGCATCTGAAGAATACACTCACGGTTGACCTCTAGGTTACTTACACACTTACGTGCAAATGCATCTGTATACACACACACACACACACAGTGTGCCCACATACACTCAAGAAAAAGAATTAACTATCACAAGTTTGCCTCTTATCAATTAAAATGCAAGCTACAACATTTCACCGCTGGCTCCCCAAAGGTTCAATTCTATCTCATAATATATGCATTTAGTTACTCTCGTGTATCTCCAATAATTGCAATATTGTTCAAGTCCAAATTATCCTCTGAACCTCCTTGCACACATTCAGATGGGGGCCTCTGCAAAATCAAAAACAAGTCACATGCTTCCAAGATATGATGACTCAATATCCCCATTTCAGTAGACTGTGTCAGGGAATGGGGAAGGATGGAACCAAGACAAGACTGAAACCTCTTAGGGAAAACCTGGGGTACGAGGAGTCATGATGTCAGTTCTGGAAGGCCCCAGCACCCATGGTCCTCTGACCTTGTCATTTGCAGCCCACCTGGCCTCTCTTGGGCTGTCTCTGCCTGCCGCCTTCTTCAGCAGACATCCCAGCTTCCGACCATCTCTGGCTTCACCTTCAAAATTTCATGCATCACCCTCTTGGAGGAATGACTTGGCTTTTCCTAGGAATCCCTTGCCTGTGGGAGTTCTACATCTGTTACAGACTGTCTAGCTACCTAGGTCTTCCTTTGTAATTTGGATTTAAACCTCCATGATCCAATAGTGCTTGCATTGTGAGTGCCTGCAAAACCAGCATGGTGGATAATGCTAGATTTGCCACCTCCTCAAGCAATAGCCAGAGCATCTTGCTCATGGCTGAAGTGGCCTCTGAATGTTTTGATGATTGAAAGCAGGGAATATTTCCTAGATACCTGGTGCAGGCAGGGTATCCTCGAGTTCTCTTCTTGGGGCAGGGTCTTTTAAGTAAGTGAAAACCTTCCCACTGCTGAGCTAATTCCCCAGTCGCTCTCAAGGCATCTTCCTAGTTGTCCTGATGTCTGTCCTTCTATAATGACTCTAATCCAGTGTTTCTCAACCTGTGGGCCGAGACCCCTTGAGGGATAAACAGCCTTTTCACAGGAGTCACATATCAGATATTTATTTTAGCATTCATAATGGTAGCAAAATTACAGTTATGAAGTCCAATGAAAATAATTTATGGTGGCGGGGGATCACCATAACATGATGAGCTGTTTTAGAGGGTTGCAGCATTAGGAAGGTTAAGAATACTTGCTCTTCTCTCTTCAGAGGCCACACTGTAGTAGTGGCTTCTATATTTGTTACTTTTCTCGTTGCTGTGGCAATCCTGACAAAAGCAACTTGATACAGTCAGTGGAGGAGAAGGAGGAGGAGGAGGAGGAGGAGGAGGAGGAGGAGGAGAAAGCTGGATGGCAGGACTGAGGGGCAGATTTGCACCCATGGTGAGAGATGAGTTAGAGATGAATGCTGGCTCAGCTCACCCTCTCCGTTTATTCAGGCCAGAGCCCCATCTCATGGAACGGTGCTGCCCACACTTTAGTGTGAGTCTTCCTACCCCAAGTCAGCCCAGAAATTTCCCCACAGCACAACCAGAGGTTGGTCTCCTAGGTGATCCTGGGTCTTGCCAAGTTCACAGTCAGTAGTAACCATCCCAGTCCATTTTTAAGTGTCTGAATCTTCCCACTGTGTATTTTGCTCCCAGACCTCACTGTGAATCTGGCCTAAGAGCCAAACTTAGCCATAGCCTGAACACTGGTCTGCCTGGAACTGGATGAGATGTCTTCCTGCTTTTGGCATTCCAGCCCTGCAGCAGGCATTTCTCTCGGCATCCTGGTCTCCTAAGGTCTCAGAATCACCCGGGAAGCTGTGCTTACAACATTCTAGGATTTCTCTGGCTGGCTTCTCCAAACTTTCTGAATTCTTTCAACAACTTAGTTCCACAAGCTTCTATGCCTCATGGTCAGGTATAGTCACCACACCAGCTGTGTATCTCAGTGTTTACTTTCTGTGTTTGGCAGCCTTTTGTGCTATGACAAAATGCCCGACAGAATGACCTAGAGAAGAAAGGATTTATTTTCCTTGCAATTGCAGAGGTTTCTGATTATCATGGCAAGGAGGGCGTGGCCCAGCACAGCAACTCACATCATGGTGGTGGTGGCCAGGAAGGTAGGGGAGAGAATGTCCTACAGTAGGCAACTTTTTCTTTCCCCCGTTTTATTCTGTCTGAATCACCAGCCTAAGGGTGAGCATTCCACCATTGCTTAACTCTTTCTGGAAGTGTGCTGGCAGACATACTGAGAGGTGAGCTTTACTAATCTCATAGGTGCTTTTTAAATTGACAGTGAAGATGAAATCTCACCAATAGGAAATCATGGATAGGCAAGACAGAGCGTGGCAGCATCCTGTCTTCTCATTTGTCTTGGGAAAGTTGTCTTGAGCTATGCTGCTCTCAGTCTAGGGAAGAAGACGGCACACACTTGTCCTCTGCCAGCCATGGGAGTCAGGCGGGGCAAAGCTCTACCCTCCTCTTCCCATACTTAGGGCCATCTAAGTACCCCAAGATCCCTGGAGCCCGAATGACCTTACTGTGGTCACTTCCTCCTCCTCCTCCTCTTCCTGGAAAACTGCCACCATGCATTAAGGAATGCTAGCTGGGATAAATGTTATCAATGATATTTCTATACCCAGGGAAAACACTGGTGTATCCAAGAGAAATAATTCCCTGTGGGATCCCTGGAGAACAAAGCCAAAAGGACACCTGCTTCCAGGGTCCCAGATCTGAGCTTTTATCATACTGTCTTTCAAGTTTCAGACCACCTGGAGGGAGGAAAGTAAATTCTAGGAGAGGCTTTAAATAGAGAGGAATTTATACCAGTGCTCTCTGGCTCCAGAGTTTGGATTCACCAGCTCTCTTTTCCTTTCTTTGCCATTTATTTTCCCGTGGCGACAACACACCATCCTCAAATAGTTTCTGGAATCCTTGTCCCTGGGTGACCCTGCTGGATGCTTGCTCTGTGTCTTACTTCCCAAACCTGGTTTGGGAAGGTTTTAAGATATTTTTTAAGCTCCAGACAACTGGAGCTCTAAACTCATGAGTCACATGCTAAATGTGTATAACCCCATGTCTCAGCACTCCATTTTCTTGGGGTTCAGTTCTGCTTGAGACAGTGATTTCCAGTGGTTGCTCTGGTGTCAAGAACAGAATCTGAGTGCAAAGGACCTTGGTTTGACTGTTGGCTCAGTCACTCATTACCTGTGAGACTGGCTAGCCACTAGCCTCTGTAAGATTTAGATGAACGGGGAAACCTTAATCATTGAGGACAGTGTCTGCCATATCTCATATACTTGGAAAGTACTAGATATGAAGTATCATTATTATGCACATTAATTGTGCGGTAGGGCCGGGGCATAAGTGAAGGGAAGGGTAGCTGGCTGTTAATGCTTCTATCATAACCTGTGCCCTTTGCTTCCTTCCAGGAGCTTGGGCCTCTGCCACAGCCCAGCAGAGGCTGTGGAGATCAACCATCAGAAAGCCTGGTTCCCAGCCCCGGGGTCCATCCCTGGCTGCTGCGGGGAGTGGAGGCTCCTGCGAGGTAGCAGTGGCCCGCAGCGGTCCCCTCCCCATAGTGAGCCATGGGTCAGAAGCTCTCTGGGAGCCTCAAGTCCGTGGAGGTACGAGAGCCAGCACTACGGCCGGCCAAGCGGGAGCTTCGAGGCTCAGAGCCAGGACGGCCAGCGCGGCTAGACCAGCTTCTGGACATGCCTGCTGCAGGGCTGGCTGTGCAGCTGAGACACGCGTGGAACCCCGAGGACCGCTCGCTCAATGTCTTCGTCAAGGATGACGACCGCCTCACCTTCCACCGCCACCCGGTGGCCCAGAGCACAGATGGCATCCGCGGCAAAGTGGGCCATGCCCGGGGCCTGCATGCATGGCAGATCCACTGGCCAGCCAGGCAGCGGGGCACCCATGCCGTGGTGGGCGTGGCCACAGCCCGTGCCCCTTTGCACTCAGTGGGTTACACCGCACTGGTGGGCAGCGACTCTGAGTCATGGGGCTGGGACTTGGGCCGCAGCCGCCTCTACCACGATGGCAAGAACCGGCCTGGGATAGCATACCCTGCTTTCCTCGGACCAGATGAGGCCTTCGCTTTGCCAGATTCCTTACTGGTCGTGCTGGACATGGACGAGGGCACGCTCAGCTTCATCGTGGATGGCCAGTACCTGGGCGTGGCCTTCCGTGGCCTCAAGGGCAAGAAACTGTACCCGGTCGTGAGTGCTGTGTGGGGCCACTGCGAAGTCACCATGCGCTACATCAATGGCCTTGACCGTAAGTTTGCTGACCTAGGTGGCACGGGGTGCAGAGGCTCCCTGCCCTAGGAGGCTGGGGAGAGGGGAAGCAGAGCAGGTAGAGCAGCAGTTGGGGAATCCTGCCGTTTCCACCAGTGGTCTTGAATTCTGACCTCGTTGACTGCTAAGCAGGTTGGAGGTTGTGCAAATGGCACGGCGGTCATAATCTAACCCGAGACACTTAGGAGGGTCGCATGGACATACTCCAACTCAGGGCACTCAGGAGGGTCACCTAGGATCGTATGTGTACTTAGAACAGGGGCTGTGGGTGCTAAAGAGATTTATGAAATGACCCAACCTGGTCACAGCTGGAGAGCATCACCCACGCCCAGTCCTTGGGTGGAAGTCTAGCTATTAAACAAGAAGTAGTGTTAGCAATTGTCATTTATTGCCGCCTACTGTATGCAGCTCCAAACACCCAAGTCCCAGCTCCTTCTGGCAGCTGTCAAAGGAGGTAAACTCCTCTTACCTCCATCTGACTGTAGCATATGGAAATGAAGCCCTGGACTATGGAATTTTGTCATTTTTCCAGACAACCAGAAAATGAGATACTGTGAACTACCCCAGCAGCTGCTAAGGACTGTGTGTTTGAAGTGAAAATCCTCCGTGGGCTGCTGGGTTTCACCCCAGCAACATGAGGTCCTCCTTTATCTAAGATGCATAACTTATGAGGTGGTGTAAAAGTCACAGTAATGCCGGGTGGCGGTGACAGTGCAGGCTTTTAATCCCAGCACTCGGGAGGCAGAGGCGGGGACAGGAAGGGTAGCCTCCAGCAAAGGCACGCATAGCTACATGGCCAACTGGAATCCCAGCCCTTTGTTGGGCTTGCTCACGCATACCAGCTATTGTGGTTTAAACATGAAATGTCCCTCATAGGCTCAGATGTTAGAGCACTCGTCCCCTTCAGGAAAAGGAGCCTAACGGGAGGAAGTTAATCATAGGGGTTGGGGGTGGATCTTGAGTTTTTATTGCCTGGCTTCACTTTATGTCAGTGTTCTGTGTCCTGACTGCAAAGGTCATGTGACCAGCTGCCTCCTACCTCTGCTGTTTGCTATAGTTTCCTTGTCATGGGGACCATATACTTTCTGAAGCCTCAGTCAGGATGAGCTGGTCCTTAAGTTCCTTCTTGTCAGGGGTTAGGTCACAACGGTGGGGAAAGTGACAATGTGCCAGACCACCAGCACCCACCTGTAGACCTCCTCCCACACCTACCAAAACTTACTGAAGTGAGCACTTCCCAGGGTTCGTTTTACATGAGAGGTATATTCGCCAGCCAGAGAGGCTAATTCCAGATCCCCTTTTCTTTTTTGGAAAACAGAAAGCAAAAACAAACAAGCAAACAGAAAACCTCAAGCACAGAGCTCTAGAACCATAAGCAGCCCCTCTCCCCCCAGATCTGTTGTCTTCTGAGACCAGCACCAACCATTTTCCCATGTGTTCCTCTTTAGCTGAGAGCCCAAGAGTAACACTCCAGCAAAGGAACCACAGACAAGGTTTGACCCGTGTGTTTGCTTGAGCAGAAAGTGGCCTGACAGTTCACAGGTGGTAGGCCATCACAAAAGTGGCCGGAGCCTCCAACTCTGGTATAATTGGCAGCATTTTTACTGGCATTTGTTTCTGTGGTTGTTGGACTAAGATTAATGGTGGAACGATGTTCCATTTTCTGATTAACTGTAAACCCCTGGACAGATGAGTCTGCTCTGAGCAGGGTGATCATCATGGCACCTTGCCGGAAGTGTCTGGAATCCTTAGATGGATATGGTGAGGCAAACCCCAGGGATGAGGGAACAAAGGCATCAGTGAGCAGTCTGGCCCAGCTGGGAAGTTTACTGCTGGAATTAATTTGGGCTTGCACCGGAGTTCTGGAGGGTGTGTCCCGTACCTCTGTACATCCCCAGCAACGGTGGTTCTGTCGCCAGTGAGTCACTCTAATTTCCTAGGATCCACTTTACTCATCTGTAAAATGGGACATGAGAGCCCTTTCTTAGTTTGAGTGTTGGCATCAGTGTGGTAGCCAGGATCAAATGTCTGAAATTGACAGCAGGGGGAGCTATGAAAGCCTAAAAAAGAACATTTCCTTCTGGCTACTAACCAGTCTATTCCTTGGTCTTCAACAACAAAACCAAGACCCTAACATGCCCCTGTGGCTCCCTTGTGGCTGTTAGAGTCAGGGATCTTCTGCATTGCTGAAGGAGACTGGGTAGGAGAGACAGTTGTGTTTGATGCATTTTGACCTCATGGCTTCTTTGGATGGTTTCGTCTTCCTTTCAGTGGCTAGGGGTTTTTCAGCTTGGCAGAATCTGGAACAGGATTCAGGGAGGTATAGGAAGTATAGGGTAGGGGCTGTGATAGTGGAATAGGATGTCATGAAGCATCCTGTAGCATCTCCTACTTGATGATCAGGTAAGTCTGCCTGGCATCGTGCTAACCTGTTCTCCAGACAAGACTGGCATCCTCTACCTTGGGTAAAGGTATGAGGGCAGAAAGGGAAGCTCAGCTTGGGACAAGTCCTGACTGTGTGGTAGCCTGGGCTACAATGGAGACCCAGAACTTGGGGTGATTGGGAAAGAGCTATGTTGTAAATGTAGAGGGTGACCTGGGCCAAATTCCACCAGGAATTCCCAGGGAGGGAAATAGTTCAGCCTCAGAGTCCCCGGGCTGGGGAGGTGGCCTAATGTGAAGATCTGTGGGTTGAAAGAATTCTGAGCCTTTGTTGATTGTGGACTTGGTAACCTGACCAGGGTTGGGGATTAGAAGGAAAGCATAATTGGGAATAAAAGGGCTGCCCCTTGGGGTTACTCCTCAAAGCCTCAGTGCCCTCTTTATCCTGCGTGATCAGGCACACCAGCACTGAGCAGACACCTTGTAGTTGGAGCCCATTGCTGCAGTTAACCAGCTGAGCTGAAAAGGTGCTGGGGGTCATGAATGGAAGACAAAGAGTGACCTTTGAAAAGCGTTTTCCTCTAATGCAATGGAAGTTGTTAATGGATAACTCCCTTGCAATTTATGATTTTTATGACTGTAAAAGCAAGCATTAGAAGGTCTTACCACACTGAACTCTGAAGCGTATGTTTGATGAGACAAGAGCTCCTAGCAATGCAATCTCCTCTTGCAAATGTAAATGCCCCGGAACCTCTGGTGGATAGAGTTGTTCTTTTGCTATACGGTGGGATGATACAATTTAGCATCTGGGAGTTTACTACAAAGACCTGAAGGATGCACAAAGATCAGAGAGATGAGAAGTGTGTAGCTGAGACATATTCAGATCAAGCTAGGCTGTGACTAGGCTGTCTTAGTTGTCTAGAGTCAACCTAGTAATAGCAATAATAACACTAGCTAGAAGTATCTCACCCTGCTGGGCTCCTTTCTAAGCCCTTTATAAAATTAGTCATTGAAATAGCCTTTAAGCTAACATACGGATGATCATCTTTCATTCACCCTGAAGGAACTGATGTGCAGTGAGCTTGAGCTCAAAAGCACACAGCTCATAGCTGAGGAGCCTGGATTTAGGCTGAGGCAAATATGGTGTGAGACTCCTGTGGGGACCCTAGCAGACAATGCAGGGGGCGACAGCACAGAAGACTTGGCTCCACCTGACTTTGTGGCCCTTTGTGGTGAACTGAGCTGAGGTCCCGCCATGCTGTCTCTGTTGCTGTTTCTCCTCCAATTGCTTCCTTCCCTGCCCTCAAAGAACTCCACAGAGTGCACCGAAAGCTAGGCTGGATGCAGAGGGTGGCTCTGATGCTGTTTGGAATCAGGTGTGCTTCATCGCTGAGCAGACAGTGTCTGGAAGATGCCCCATCTACTGGGACATTCACCTGCGGGGTGGCCTGGCCTTGTGTGGAATTGCCCTCTAGCCTGAGGCTCTTCTCTCCACACGCTGGTGGGTGGCTGAGTGCTAACAGAAGGCTGTAGTCTTGGAGTCCCTGTATGGTGAGTGGGGTGTGAGTGACACAGGCTGAGGAAAGGAGCCTCCAATGGAGGCCAACAGCCTTGGGGCCTCAACAGCTTTGACACAGGGGACTCATGGTTCTGTTTGTCAGGGGGAACCCATGGGCTGTGCCCTAGGCTGAACGTTTCACTCAGGTGCTTGGTTTGTGCTGTTTTGGGAGTCTGCACAGAAGGCCCACGGGTGCTCAGCACTGACTTTTACATGAAGAGTGGAAGCACAGATATGGTATCCTGGGGCTAGCTGGCCGCGAAGGTCCGTCCACTTGCACCAAGCAGAAGAAGCTGTATTTCCAGACGTCCTTCCTAGATGGTTTAATCGATCTGCCAACAAGTATTTATTGGTGCAACAGTGCAGCCGAGGAGGCTGGCAGCCAGCCAGAGCTCCTGGTATTGATGGGGACCAGAGAGGTTTTCCACAGGATGACTGCAAGGACACCCTCCCCTTGTCAGAGTGTGTTCCTACTCTGTGCTGAGCCCACCGCCTTCCTGCTCAACACTCAAGGAGTCTTGTGTGGGCAGTGAGGTCCTCCCAACTTCCCTGATGACAGGATGTGGCTCCTCCACCAAGGTCCATGTCTGACCTCCCCGTCCTCTCTCCGTTTGTCATCCCAGCTCACTGCCAACCCGGGAGACCCTGTGTCTGCACTATCAGTGAGTGTCCCCAGACCCCTCTCAGTGCGTCTGCCCACTTTGCTCAAGTAACGGAGAAGCGCTCAGGCGGGGATGACATTTGGGGGACATTTGTGACAGGTGGAAAGAGTCAGGACTTAATGCATTTATGTTTCCTTTTAGTAGGTAAAGATGTGGGTTGGGTAACAGCTGTCAGTAATACACACAATTGTGCACTGAACATCCTCACCACATTCTCCAGTTCCTGGCCTCCTGTCATACTTGCCACCAGCCACCATCAGCAGTCTCTCGCGTATCCTTCCAGAAATATTTACGACAGGGAATTTTTAGATCACACTGTAAGCAAGCTCCGCATCACGGTTCCCTCCCCCTGCCTAATGGATCTTGGCAATTGTTTAA